GAGGTCTCTAAGGTATATCCTAAATGCACTATTTCTAAACAACTGTTCTTTAATAAACATCAGAGTGCAGATATAAATTTTTAAACAATTGAAACACCAATCAAGGTCATACAATATAAATATTGGAAACTATGGAAAGACCAACATAGCTGGTTTGAGTGGCCGTATTAATGGGGTAAAATTACAAAGGATTATACAGGTTGGGATTTCAGAATGTGGTCGTTGGCCATATTAATGGGGTGGCCGCATTAACAGGGTTTTCTCATTAGCGAACGTAGGGCCATTTTGCCAGGACAAAAAAGTGGTGGTACTAACAAGGTGACTGTAAAGTGGGGTTCCACTGTAATCAGAATTTTTCAGTGTGTTTTGTGCAGCTTTACTCACGACATGCAGTCTGTTGTTCCTGTCTTTTTTCCAAAAGTGATAATTGCAATAATTAACACCTTGTACAGAAAACCTAGTTTATCAATTTGTTCAGAATAAAAAATAACGGAAACGATGCTAGGCTGCCAAATAGGTCTCAAATCTTAGGTTGTTAATAGTTATTAAAAATACCCTGGTTTGATAACTAAGTTACCAAAGATTATGGATAATTAACACTACAAAACTAATGCTTGATGTAATTTTTTGAAGTAGATTGCTTATTCCTTGACAGTTATTTGTTATTGAACATCTCCTAATATGCAGATCTTACACAATGTTGAAATTATTTAACAAAATGTTGAAGTTGTATGTTAGTATTTATGTTTTAGGTTACTAGGCTATGTAGTTGTTTCAACATAGTTTTGTGTAATAAACTTGAAGTTTACCGTTTATTTCTGTTTTCATTTCATATTAACTTGAATGAAATTAGTTATTTTGCCCAAGTATCACTCATTGCTTGAGCTTGAAATGTGAAACATGAAACAGTACAAAGTTTTCATCAGTAGCTAGATCTATTAATCTATTTATTCTGCAACACTTGTGAAAAAATCAAAATATACAGTTGAACCCCTATAAGTGGCCACCCTTTGGGAAATGGAAGGAGGCTGCTTAATAGGGGTTTGTCAGGAATTGGCATTCAAATACAAATTGAACAAGCATGGAATCATGTGAAGACAACAATAAACAATTGTTTGAAAGTTTTTAGTGGTAACTTTCTATTTCGGAGTCTTAGCTGTCATGGCCTTTTCCAAAAATGTATCAACTTTTGGGTGGCTGCTTAATAGGGATAAGGACAATGGAAAAGTTCCACCAGGACTACCAAAACATGGCCGCAGCCACCTTGTAGAGGTGGTTGGTTAATAGGGGTTATATTTAGTTTTTTCGTGACAACAATTTTGAGACATGGAAAACTGGCTGCTTAACATGGGGTGGCCATTAAAAATTTTAATAGGTGGCCGTTTAATAGTGGTTCAACTGTATGTTGTAACACTGCCTGATTAATAAACAACTACAGTGGAACCACGCCTTATGGTGACCCTGTTATTATGGCCACTTTGTATGTACGGTCACCTCAGAATCATACAGCCTCTTTATTCTGGCCTGAACAAAAGCTCAGTCAGTCATTTTCTTATTTAAAAACCCCTTCAATGCAGCGGGATTTTTGTGGCCTGTTGGTGAGCAGATTTACGGGGTTCCAATGTGCAGCAGGGTACATTTAAGCCTTACAACAATGTATTGACATTCATACTCGCAATGCCCCCAACAACAGCAAGAAAGTCTCTCTGCATTCATTAATATGGACACTCAAACTGGAACAATAATTTATTATGGTTCTGAAAAAGAGATTGTTTACAAGTCTCAAGTGATACTTTAGTCTAAATATGTATAAGTATTAATATTTGTCTATTTGTTAATGATCAATATTCTTCCTATTGACAGGCAAGTTTATTTATTGAAATTGTACATAATTATTATAATTTTTGAAGAAATCATCTTTTGAAATGGTCAGTCCCAGACACTTTATAAAGCACTGTCTTTGCGGCCATTAAGGCACAACTCGCAAATGTTTGAAAGACACTGACTACACATCAAAGTGCTAATCCTACTATCAAATAAGTCTCTGCAACTCTAACATATAGTATACACTTTCAACACAGGAACCAATTTTTGGTTGATGTTCAGAAAATGTCAATAAATTAGGGACAAATTAAAAAGATCACTGAAGATAGAAAAACATTTCTCTGAGGTAGTAAGCTACAAAGCTATATTATAAGTTATCACATGTTAGTTAACATGTGCTTGGGATTTTTCTTTTCAAATAGTGTATCATCAATCTTGATTTTGTGCCATAGGTTTTAGGTAACTTTCCAAGTTTTTCATTTTTTAGGGGTTGGCAAAGAAAAAAATTAATGGGATACAATGTAGCGAATTGTTTCCGTGAGTCAATTTAGTGTAAGTTTGTGTTAATTGAGAATTGCTTTGGAGGAACTTATACACAGGTATAACCTAAGTAGATTGCAGGCAGAATTCTACTGTATAGTAGGCAAACAAAAATGTTACTCCACAAAATATTAAGACAGATGTTTTTTTTTTTCTGCAAGTTATTTTTCTTTGGACATGTGCCAGTGGGAGCAAGAGAGCAACTGCGAAGTGAACAAAAACATTAAAATCATAATTAGTTTTTGTCTTTTCCCAGCCCCACCCCTTGCATTTTAGCTCAATCATGTCCCACACGGTTAATACTTTGCATTTGATCTTGACAAACTCGAGACAAAATAGAGGGTCTATGGACAGACTATACAAAATATCCTTGTATACCCCTCCCATAGAAGATTATTTAGTTTGAACCCACCCCCATTTTACAAGAAATATTTTTACAGTTAAGCCTTGTCTCAGAATTTCCAATAACCTCCCTTAGGTAGAAGGGGGCTAAAAGGCCAAAAATATCTTGAGAAACCTTAGGATTACCTGTCACAGGTCAGCACACTTGCAACTAGTAAACTGTCTAGTAACTCACGACAAAAAACTAACTTCCACCCTGTGGGATGCACAACCTTACCAGGCCACCTTAAATTATTAAGAGAAGACATTATTTAGTTGCATAGTGACTCTAATAAATGTGGTACGTCTTGGAAGCTCCTTCAGCTTCTCTGCCCCAACATAGGTACATGTTGACCGCACACCACCAAGAATATCCTGGACAGTATCATGAACATTTCCACGGTAAGGGACTTCCACTGTTTTACCTTCTGATGATCTGGAAGTAAAGTTCCAAATCAGATGCTGGCCATTGATTGATTGAACATTATCGATTAGTAGATCTATAGGCAGCTAGCCTTTATCTTAAAACAATGAGAATTAATTAAAAGCTATTAGAAGCTGGTAGGGTTGTTTGTACTTAACCTAAATATCTATAAACTATGATATTATCTTACTACAAGCCTGTCTGCACTAAGAAAAAAAGTTGATTGTCCTTCATTTTGTCCAAAACAAGTGATTTCTTGATTTGTCTGCTAGTGTGGATAGGCAATAATTGCATTTTTTTCCCATGCTGCAACACTCAAGTGCCAACTCTACCAAGTAAAATAAAAGTTCTGTTTCTGTTATTGAGTTTTAGTTTCATGGTTTGTTGTTTTGTCACTTATGAGAGAAGTGTCAAGAAAACAAAAATTGAAATATTTGGGCCCTTCTTCAAGCTGCAGAAATTTAATTAGCACCCTGGTAGTCAGTTAGTTTTTGGTATACGGTGGTTCTTAAATTTGTGTCTGCAGATGAAATTGTAACCTGTGACAATTTCCAGGTTTACTTAGTGTTAAATTTTAAAATTCTTACAAAACAGAATCATTCAGCAATTGTTCCAGAAATAGGGTTTTGGGAGAATTAAAAGGAGTCATAATTAAACGTAAAACAATTTTAAAACCCTGACAATACTGACCTATAATTGGCTACTCCTCCTGAATGTTTTTGCATGGCTGTGGACGAGCTCATGCCATAGAATATCTTGTATTTCTTTCCATCACGTTCTATCAACTCTCCACCTGATGTTTACGACAGAGAATAGTAAGGGTTTTTTTTTATTGTTACTAGCAAGATTTTATTTCATATGTTATATAATTATTATATGCCAGTATTTTTCACCTAACAACTAGACTACAAGCCCAGACACATGCAAACAGGCCATAACTTATGTTTTAGTGTCTCTGCTTCAAAACCTCTTGTATGAAAATCAAATTTTATTTTGAATCGTAGTAAATCAAACTCATTTTCACTTTGAAATGTTTTGAATTACGGCATCTTGAAATGAAGGTATGGTAAAAGAAATAGCTTTATGATCAAGGGATATCATCAGTGATAATCAGACATTCCTTACCCGACTGATCATGCCCAGCAAACATGCCTCCCATCATAACGAAATCTGCACCAGCACCTAACAGAAACGAACAAACAAAAATTAAAACATAACCCCCCCTTCTCTAGGCCCACCCAAAAAACCCCACCCCAACCTCTCCTTCTAAAAAAAGAAAAAGATTGCCGATGCTAACAGTCATCTGCTAATGAATCCCCTCCTCCTCCTTCAGTTCTCAGGGTACTGAGACCAGTGGGTATATATAGACTTACACTCGAGAATAAAAAGCATTTCTTTCCAGATTGTTGTTCACTCAGGTCTCCTTGCTTTGCAGTCTACATCATACATATTTAAGAACAGTATGCCCAATCATGTAATCAAGAACTATTCAGCATCAAGAAGTATTCCACAGCAGATACAAAAGGCTGCCATTCTAAATTGAGCATGGTTGAAACTTTATTGAGTACGCACTTGTAGATTCTAATTTCAAGCAACACACTCGTCAGACAGTTTACATCAAGCATACTTAAAAACTGTAATCTCGATCGTGTAATTTGAATGTTCATTTGACAGCAGCTGGAGTTTGCTTTTGATTCAGAAGTTATGTTTAGAGGGAAGTTATGTTTAGAGGGAAGATAATTGCTGATGAAAATTTGTGAATCAGTGAAAAAAAAAAGACAATTTTACCAAAGGCTTTAGAGACATCACCAGGACAAGTGCAGCCTCCATCCTGCAAAATAACAAAAGTCATGTTTTATTGTGCCTTTCAATCACATGCAAACTGAGTGACAGTTCAAACAACAATAATTGAGTTTTCGCTGCTGTCAAAACCCAGTAGTGTACGTCTCAGAAAATAGATCTTCACTTCAACAGGTTAAACAGTTCACGTTTGTGGGTTGCGATTGGTAGATTTCAATCCAGGGCTGTCATGAAGGGACGTAACCCGTAACACCTGTTATGGGCGAGCATGCTTGATTTTCCCTTGATGCTACAGGTGAAATTGCCTGTTGCTGATAGAATTCAACCACAAAGTAACAAGTTTCATGCTACCAGAGTTGAGAACAATGCTACAGGTGACTTAAAATTTAATGACAGCCCTGCAATTGATTTTGTTTGTTTCTTATTTTTAGGATTCGTTGAATTTAATGTCATAATAATGACTGACAGCAGCAAAAAACAGGATCATTAGTTAGGTTTGGAATTTCTGAGTTCATGTGATATTGAAAGGTGCAGTAATGACCAAAAGCTGATTTTAAAAAAAATGTAAAGAGGTGATACACATTATTTACTGATTACTAAATTAAGTCATGTTGTATTCAAGAATCATCAGTGAAAAAAAAGCACCAATGTCATTGCCAAAGGTTGCTTTGTAATCCCTTCTGCTGCTTACTATGTGAACGTTGCAAAAACAATAACGTGTGTACATACAGAGATAATATGTCCCTTGAGGCCATGAGCAGCATCAGCGCACTCTAGCACCGCACTCAGCTGTGGGTAACCCACACCAGTCTGCCTGCGGGTCGTGCAAACAGACCCTGTGAAGACAAAAGTCTCCATGTCAGTACAGGTGTACAATAAGCACCAGTAGTAACTTTACACCTTTACATGTACATTGTAAATCAATGAAAATTGACTCACACTGTCAGGCAATAAGCCATGTCAGTTCTCACTGACGTAACTCAATATTGACTTACATCAACTCAGGACTATCAAACTTGAACAAGCTTCCATTTGATTCTTCTTTCTCACCAGCTATTGGCCAACAAGGGAGGCACGGTGGCCTCATGGTTAGTGCACTCGTCTCCGGATCAAGCGGTCCGGGTTCGAGCCCTGGCCGGGGACATTGTGTTGTGTTCTTGGGCAAGACACTTTACTCTCACAGTGCCTCTCTCCACCCAGGTGTATAAATGGGTACCAGCAAATTTAATGGTGGGGAAACCCTGCGATGGATTAGCATCCCATCCAGGGGCGGGGTAGAAATACTCCTAGTCGCTTCGTGCTACAGAAACCGGGATAAGCTCCAGCCTGATGGGCCACTTGGCTCATATGCAGACTTTACCATTAGCCAATAGAAGGGTGTTTAACTCTTAATAAGTTAACACCTACCAGGTCCTATGCCAACCTTGATGATATCAGCTCCATTCAGAATCAACTGTTCCACCATTTCACCCGTCACTACATTCCCTGCCTAATGGTACGACAAAACCAATGTATGAGAGAGGGGTCACTTACAGTTGTGAAAAGTTACCACACAGAGGAATGAGTTAGAAATGACACTAGTAAGAGACTTCAAGCTTCAGAAACATCTTAACTGATTTAATTCCCTGACAAGAAGAGTTCCATTAGTTTTCTATTACGTAAGCTCTTAGCACAAGTACAGTGTAACCAGGGCTGGCATTACGTTTTGAGTCACCTGTAGCCTTGTTCTCCACACCCATAGCAAACTTGTTACTTTGTGGTTGAATTCTATCAACAACAGGCAATTTCACCCGTAGCATAGAGGGAAAATCAAGCGTACTCAGCCGTAACAGGTGTTATGGGTTATGGCCCTTAATGACAGACCTGAGTAACAATTTAAGAAGTATTTGGTTAACTTAATAACTAAATGGCTGAGCAAGTGGCACGTCTACTTCTGGTAGAATGACCGATCATTGGAAAACACAGACTAATGTGGTGTCACTAAAGCTGTAATCTGATTTATAAAATAGTTAAATGGATGCTACTCAAAATCTGTTCTGTGAACTGACTGGAGTAATAAACTGATTGATTTTGATGATCTACAAACCTATTGAACCCTCATTGCTAGTCTGCACAGAGATCAGTATCTGACTGCTTGGTTAATAAGATATATATTGGGACTAAATGGTTAAAATAATTATATATCACCATGTGCATACTATGATGATGTGATCTGGAAACTTGCTCCTGACAGTTTTGACAAATTCCACAAAATGTTCAGAGTAGCCATTTGCAACATCAAGACAGATTCCTGGAACTGTGGGACAACTATCTAAAATCTGCTGCAACTTTAATAGATCTTCATCTGACATTCCACAACTTGCAAGGGTGTACTGAAAATATAATGTATACATTAACAAACCAAAACATAAGCAAACATGATCGGAAGAAATGATTTTTGTCTTTACAAACTAGTTATTTACAAATTTAACTGGAAATGAGAAAAGAAATGACCAAATTACTCCAGTTTATTAAAAGAACTTACTGGTAAAACACTTGGGTTTTCTTTACCAAACTTGACCCATTCTTCCAGAGGATAATGCTTGTGAATTGCTGTCAGAAGCTTGTGCTGAAAATTCAATTCAATAAAGTTACATCATTTTAACTGGTTTCCATAACATTAAGTGACTCCAAGTATGTCTACTCCCCCTGCATTGCAAGGTTACCCTCAAGCAAGGGCCCATGCCCATGACTCCCCTTTTTATAAGCCTCTTTTAAGCAAACAACCTACAACAGGTGGTGAAAATGCCATGACAATCTGGTGAGTACCCTCACTTTGACACAGTATGACTCCCCCTTTGAAAAATCCTGGCTACACCACTTTCAAGCATTAAATTTGCCAGTACCCATTTATACATCTGGGAAAGGTACTGTAAGAGGACCCTGACCAGGGCTAGAACAGTACCCTAACCATTAAACCACCATGCCTCCCACAAAGAGCATGTTTCAACCGTTTTTCGAAGACTGTGTATACCTGGGAGACTTCCCTATAAAAATGATTGGGATGCTCACTGCAAATTTTGAAAAGAACCTCTAAAGGGGGGGCCAATGAGTGTGAGTGCAAAGCGTTTTCACCCCTAAGGGGTACCAATCCTACAACAATAAATCCACTGGCACTGATAGATTTTGAGGCTCCATACCCCAAGCGATGGTTAGAAGGAGTGCCGCATCCTAAGTGGTACCAATCAACAAATGGTACCTCCTGAAAGGTATGACAAGTAACCCCTATAACATTTTATTGGGGAGTCTGCTCAGGTTACAGAGTCCACAGGTTACATAGTTGCATAGATGGAATATCCCAGGAGGAGGGACTCTCAAATAAAAAGGACATAGGTGCTCGTCGAAAATTTTGAAAAAAAAAACCTTAAGAGGTACCAAGATCCTGTTTTATGGGTGTGGCTCAAAATGTTTTTCACCCGTGAGATGTATCAGTTCTAAAACAAAAATTAAAATTCAGTTGATTTTCAAATGTCTCCTGCCACACTTTTCGGCTCAATACCCTAAAAGATCCCGCTGTGGACATTTTGAGGCTGAACACCCTAAGACATACTAAAACNCCCCCCCCCCCCCCCCTTTTTTTTTTCATTCAATACCTTCAAAGGTGTCACAAAAGCTTCTGCTGTGGGGGAATATATTTTTGTGAAATCTCCTTCCCCCTTCTTCCTCCCTCTGGCAACATCCACTATTTTACAGTTAGACATATTTCATGTAGACACCTAACATTTCCAGCTAGCACGAGTCTACTGAAAATATGATATCTGACGACTACTTCTGCGGAAAAACAAAACTGTTTACCTCAGCTAAAGCCACAGCCATACCAAATGTACCGATGGTGTCCATGTTTGCACTTATGATGGGAACAACATCATCTGGAAGTTTCTTCTTCGCATACTTGAAATTGAAGTGCCTAGCAAGCTCAACCTGCCATTACCACAAGAAAAATTATGTTAATTAGTAACGGCGCATTCTTCAAAAGGACTGAAAAATAAGCTTACATGTTATACCGCCATGTTATTAAACGAAAATTACGCACGGGGAGCACAACTGGAAAACATATTCCATCGCTTGTTCATTTTCAACCACAATGATGGGCCGGTAGCTCATAGGCAAGCCTAATTAACGACGCCCCATGGGGTTGTTTCGATCGCTGGTGGTCTTCAAAAATCCAAATGTACAATAAGCCCAGTACGTGTTGGAAATTTACATCTTCACGTGTGAAAATCAAAAACATGATTTGACTTCTAACTTACATCAGCTCGGCTGCGGATTGTACTCCGTTTAGGTCGAATTAACACATCTTTAAAGTCCAGCCTTATACTATGATCTAAATGTGGCATTTTCTTGAACAGACAGATCTCTCAGCTCACCCCACAGATAAGTTGCCACCGTCGTACGGGAAAGTGGCGGGGTATTTTTTTAATCGAATTTCAGTCACGTGGGTAGTGAAGTAGATCGGCTTTGATTATTGGCCGATTTTGGTCAGTTCGAACTCCGATCGCAATGAGCACGTTTGTTTTAAAGTAAGGCAATTTACAACAGTAAAAAGTATTTAACTTGTAATTTGTCACCCTTTCAAAAAGGTACCGATTTTCGGAGGTGGTTTGAAAGCTTTTGTTGATCTGCTATTCTCGAAAGACCAATCGAATGCGGCGTTATATCGAGCAAATGTTTTAGCGCGTGCGTTCGATTTTGGCGCGCAAGTTTAACGGAGACTGCGCAACATGGCCGATGGGATTTATGAGGTGAGTGGCACAAATTATTGCATAAAACTTCGATAAATCTTGCGGTCTTTATCAACTGATCTCATAGTAACTCCCACTGTTAAGGTATTAATACTTAAAGACTGGATTGGAAAATTCTGATGGTGCTGTTAGAGGTTTATTTCGCTGTATTTTGTATTCTTTTAAGTTAATTCATTCATTGGAAATGACAGTTTCGCTTTGGGCATAATTTGCTTAAGCTTAGTTACTCGGTGGTCCTCGATATCTGATGCCTTCTTTGTGTTGCCTAAAACTGAATACAAAAATCCCATCACTCTGTTTAGGGTTACGTTTACATACTGTTTCTTTCCAAGTGACTTAAATCAACATTTGATATGTTTTTGTTCGTCTTGTTCGAGATCAACACGTGTAGTTTTTGTTTTTTTATACTACAGTTGTACCAGCTCATAGATTTATTGATTAAAAATTAGCTTACAAACGGCATGCTCTTAAATCTTTATGGATGCAGATAGCCAAGTCTTGTTTTAAAACAAATAAACGAGGTGAAAAAGTACTTTATTTTCAATTCTTGTACAATTCTCTTTGTTTATAAAGCTAATAAGCTTACTTGCATATTGTTTTGTTATTTTCACAGGTTGATAAAGTAATAGGAAGACGCAGAACATCATCTGGAAAGGAAGAATATCTTGTTCACTGGAAGAATTACGACCCTTTGTACAGCACGTGGGAACCTGTTGAAAATCTATTGCCTTGTCTCCACACTGTCACGGAGTTTATGGCCAAGTCGTTCCCAATGCCAGGTAACTACATGAGGGACTAAAAACAATAATGATTCAATTAACACCCAGGACGGTTATTTTCTTGTAGGGGCTTGACAGAGGGTACTTACTATGATTATCAGTTGAGTAGGGCGGGACGAAAGTTTGGTCACCAATTTTTAATGTAAAAATCCTGTTGTTATCACGAGCAACTGGCTCCATATCCATTGGCAACTTGTTGGCCTTTGACGTCATTAGCAGCGAAGCGCACAAAATTGTAGGCGACGTGACAGGCGATGCATGGCTGTTGATATTGTTACCAACGGAAACGAGGTAAGTTTTCCGTGACAACACCATAATTTTAAGGCCAAAACTTCGTAACCAAACTTCTATCATGTAACTATAAACAGCTGCGGCTAAATTTTGTTACAATTATTAATGAGTTAAGTCTTGTTTTTTATGGATATGGAATTTCCGAGGGTTAGGGGGTGGCCAAGTAGAAAAATCATGGAAATTCCAGGGGGTGGGGGGAATACTGTGAAGCCCCCTGGAATGGAAAATCTTGAGGGGTGGGGGTCAACCTGGAAAAAAACCTCCGTGGGGGGGGGGTATGGATATTTTCTGGAACCACACATTTTTATCAGGGAAAAGTCAAAGGATACCTATGGCAACCATGATTTCACCTGTGAGTGCTTTTGTTTCAGCAGCAGAGCCTGTGATCACGAAGCTGCCAAGGAAATGTTTACAGTTCTACAAGCTAAATCACTCATACATTTAACTCCAGCCGCTACCCAGTCTAACAAGGGGGGGGGGGTAGCCAGGGGGTCCTGGGTGCCTGTGACCCCCCATCTGTAAGCCTTTTTTTAAGCAAACAACCTCCAACAGTAAATGCCCGGACAATCTGGTGAGTACCCTCACTTTGACACAGTGTGACCCCCCCTTTGAAAAATCCTGGCTACGCCCCCGTCTAAACCAGAGTCTGTAACCTTTTTTGATTTTTCATTAGGAATAAATGCCAGTTGTGTTACTCATTTGGAATCCAGCAAGCCTGAATTGCGGCAACTAAGAAAAGTCACTGATATTGACAAGCGGAAGCTTAGAGGTCTAGCAAACAAGGAAATGGTTGATGAGATCTTGAAAGTCAAAAGTATGGCAAATGAACTTAAAAAATACCAAAGAGGACGTGGAAGAGGAAAGAAAAGATCACAAATCCATGAAGCATGTGAAGTGTTTGGTCAAGAAGCAAAAAGACTTCGTTCAAGTCCGCTCAATGGACAGATTATTGAAAAAACTCTTCTCTCTGGACTTCCTTGCCAAAGTCCTAAAAGAGACACCATCAAGAAAGGTGGCAAAAAGTCCCCAGGTCACATAGGAAAGAATGGTTTGACTCGGTCACTCATAGCAGAGCTAGGTGATGATGAAGTATCAAGATTAACACGCACCACTCGTATGCATGGTGTCCTAGATGAGTGTGTGTCTGTCCTTAAAGAAGGAAGTGTCTGGAAAATCACTTTGTGTAGTGAAAAAAAGAAAAATGCTTTGACTACTGAGGTCGGTCATTATTTTTTTTTTTTCAATAAATGACCCTGATATAACTAATTTAAGTTTATTTGTCTAGTGGCCTATGAAAATTTGTTTGTATTTTGAGAGTGTTCATGCTTGAAATCAGGGGCCGGGCACCAGGCAAATTGACTTGCTGTGAGAATGATTTTGCCTGCCTGGTTTGACCATCAAGAGGAAATTTTTCCTCACCAAGAGGTTCAAGCCAGCTGGCCTCCGGCTAAAAAAAACTTTTATGAAACCCCTCTGAAATGCTAGCTTGGCTACTTGTCTGAACGACTCTCATTGCCGGCATAATTTTCAAGACATTTGCCTAGAGTACACTCTCTCTAAGATGGACATCCTGGGGACCAGTTCTAGCAGTCAGCCTTAAAGAGACATTTGCCTTAATGAGATTAGTTAAACTGAAGACAAACAAGTAAAATTCAGCTAGGGCAACCTGGCCAGTGATGTTTCCCTTGGAGAAGTGTCCACCTTAATGAGAATTTATTTCAAGACAAACAAGTTCATTCAGCTATGACTGCCTTAGGGAGGTGTCTGCTTACAGTGGTCCCCATCTTGAGATAGTTGACGGTATACATTCTTCAGTGAGAGTATCTCAACTTTAACAAAGAACATTTCTAAGCTACAGTGAAGTAAGCACTATTCCAGGTTAAAAAAAGGAAATAAATTTCCCTAACACATTCTGTGAAGATGTAGATGATTGTTGGGAGCTGGGAAAGATGCGCACTTTTTTCTTGGCTGAAAGACTTTATACAGCCTTTGAACCAGCACGACTATTTGAACCGGTCCACTTGGAAAAGAGTTAACCAATCAGAGTGTTACTTGAGAACAAAGGATAGCGATCTTTTTCTTAAATAAACCAATAACATAATAATACCACAATAGACTGCAACAAAACTGAAAACCCAACAAAGTGCAAGGAGTTGTGAACCTCTCAGGAAACTTTGCCATTTGTTGATTGGTTAGTTTCCTTCCTAAATTTTGTATGCTTTTCAACGTTTTCGGTTTAGTTGAACATTGCAAAATGAGTTTTCAAGCTAATTTTTTTCAAGTCAGATTTATAATATTATTATGGTAATTCCTCGTGATGTTTTCACATCAAACAGACTGTTACTTGCTGTCACAAGAAGCTACCAGTCCATTGTTCTCAGTTTATGTTTTGATTGGTTAGTTTTCTTCTAGGTGGCCCAAGTAGTCACACTGTAAAACATGGCTCATGTTACTCACCCTTTGTTAACAAAATTGCACATTAATTAAGTTGGAAGTATGACTGCGTCGCTGTGTTGTCCAATCCTTAGATGTGTGATCAACTTGCTGGTTTTCTTCATGAAGCATCCAAAGAAGAACATGTCAGTATTGTTGTACTGACAGGAGCTGGGGACAGCTTCTGTAGTGGCCTGGATTATCAACAGTTGATCATGACACATCAACGCCAGGAGGCCAAAAGGATGGTGGAAAAATTCAAGTGAGATGTGTAAATCTAAGTTCTCTCAAATTAATTTTCTTAGACGTTTAAACATAACAGTCTTCTTGGCAGGTTGATACATTTTACTACTTGCCCAAAACAATGAAACTTCATGTTGCATGTTCAAAAATGTACAACCTGGGACAATCTGAATGCGCATACACATTTCCTCAGTCCCTAGAATAACTTTTCATCACTTTTGAACCCAAGCAGGACAAAAATATTTATTTTGGGAAGAATTTTCAGCAACCAGTTTGTACTGTAATGTACATAGGTTGCAAGGACATAATGCTATAGAGAAATAAGGATGACAAGAATTGAACAAGATTGACATGTCTTACAAAATACCTAATTCGTATATAACTTTCTTTCTATACAGGCTATTCTTAGCTAATATGTAATCAACTGCACTAACAATATTAACTATATTTAATATGCCTTGTAATTTTTTTAAAACAGACTTTTAGTTGAGATGTTGATCAGTTTCCCAAAAGTTCTGGTAGCAGCTGCAAACGGAAACACCTTGGGTTTTGGTACGGCCCTTCTGGCTTTGTGTGATGTGGTGTATGCTAATAATAAGGTTGGTACAAAATTCTTGATTTTGTATTTTTATCTTAATTTCCAAACATTGTTTGAACACCTCAGACTTTGATTTCCAGTGTTGCTGAAAAAGCTATAACAGTTGTTAGCAAAGAGTGATTTTAATGTTTTAAGACTACATCAAAATAAGTGAGTTTACTAAGGGTGGAGAAATAAGGTGGGCAATAAGCAATTAGAAAAACGAGCAATATCGATTTTGACTGCAATCAGAAAAGAGACATTCTAAACCTTTGCACATTATGCACAGCTCTCTCTTTGTCCTATTTTCAATTTCTTAAAGGCTAATTATTGATTTTTTTGTTTGCTACTTTCAGGCAGTGTTTCAGACATGTTTTACCAAGTGGGGTCATCCACCAATAGGATGCTCATCTACTGTTCTCTCATCCTTACTCGGGAGAACTGGGGCAAGTGCTTAAACTATTAAGGCGGATTCCGATCAAAGTTTGAGCAGTAATTGCAAAAATTATGTACTAAGAATCTGTTCATAGCACGGTAACCTTTTGAATGCTACTTGAAACAGCTCACTTTGATTCATTTCCTCAAGTGACCCTGGGATTAAGTTCTCAAGCATTCTTGAGAAAGATAGTGTCAAACCTCGTAAGAATGCTTAAAGTGTATGTTATTGTGGTTTGACCTGACATGAAATGTCCGTTTTTATTAAAAGATGGATAACTTCAAATTCAATTTTCTCTCGCAGGGTCAGCTAATGAGAGCTTAAGTCTTGTTAAGTTCTTCTTAACTGCATTCAAAATATTGCCATTCTGTGAGGTTTTTTTGGTATCTTTGTTTTTGCCATGATTGCTCGAATGTTCAGCAGAAATCATCTTAATATGTGATTAATTCATTAATTAAAATTAAATTGCCTTGTCATTTTGCAACATTCAGCTTTTATTTTTGGCAATTTCTTTAACACAACATTCTGGTGAAAATGGAATCAGGCAGTTAGTGACTAAAGGTTCTTGTAAATTGTTGCTCAAAATGTGATGTTAAGACACAATTTAAAAATTTCCTTCTTATTTTTGTCTTAATCTTGTAAATGGTATCTCAAATTTTGTGAGATTAGCTCACCAAATGCTCACATTTGCTATGTCTTGAATGGAAGAGCATAAATTTTGCACTTTGCAACCAAAAGGCCTGAAGAAAGATATTAAATATTACTTTCCAACTAGTAAAAGTTAGTGTTAAAAGTTTCATGTGACAGGTAAGAAATTTTATAACTTTGTTCTTTATGATTTTCAACAAACTTCATGAAGAAAGTAATTACTTTTCTAATAGGAAATATTCATTACAGATAACAACAGGCCGAAAGTTCACAAGGTAATCTATTGTCTTTTATTTATAATGACTTTCAAATAGGCTATGTCAATGCTGTTGTTGAACCACAAAATGGCAGCCACAGAAGCATGGGAGAATGGACTTGTGATGGAGGTTTTGAAACCTGGTAATTTTATGGAACAGGTTGACAGCAGGGTTAAAGCTATGACTGCTATGCCTAATAAGGTAAATTTCATCAACAGCTCCCAGAGAGTGTGGAGTGGTACAAATGTATATCAGGGAATGAGGTATTACCAAGGCGTGGGTGTACTCTGGGGGTTGGATATTCTTAGGGATAATGTACCTCCTATTGGTGAGAGATTTGCAGAACATGATGTACTGGACTTGCTTTTACCTGGGCAGTAGAAACTACCAGGTGCATGGATAATCCCATAGGGAGTAGTGTTTCTAGTGGTGAGGTATGCCCAGGAAATGTCTTCCATTAGTGTTTCCAAAATAGTGAAATAACTATAGGTAAGGTGTTTTGGTTTGATTTTTGGGACATTCAAATAGTGAAATGGTGATAGCATGTTGCAAATCATTTAACGTTTAAGAGTTAAACTGTTTTTCAAGGAATCACTAATTCAATCAAAATTTGAAAAATGTATTGAAAGGCGATGGTGACTTAAGTTAATAATTTGGATATTTTATTGAGTGGTTTTTCATCTTAACAGAAGCTTATGATCTCGAGCATTAATAATTTATTGCCATGACGTCATTTTTTTTGTTCTTAGGTACTGCAAGATACAAAGTCCCTTATCAAACATCCAGATCAGGAAACTCTTCGAGACACAAACTCTGAAGAATGTAAATTATTTCTTAAATACCTTGGAGATGATAAAGTGTTAGACACTCTAAAAGCAAACTGGCTTCCTGATGTTGTTTCTCCATAGTTATATCTATAGTAAACCATTCTGTTCCTCTTTTTCCACTTTGCGGTGTTTAAAAATTTTAGAATTTTGCCAGAATGTTTTAAAACCTAACATTTTTAATTTAAAAAAAAAGTAGATTTAGCCAGCAACTTGCAAATTGATGTTGCTGTAGTTGTAAAGTCTTATTAAATAATGCTTACACATAACATTTTATTTCACGATGATTACTGTGTGCTTTATGTTCTAGATTACTGGCTGACTTATGTGTTTTTTTTTTTTGTTAAGACCTTTTGAATGCTTAGAATGAATAGTCCTCTATTGACAATTTTTTTTGTGTGAGTGTTACAAAAGGGCTGTTGACTTGTCCGCTTAACATCCATTGTTTAATAGTGATTCTTGTGGCTGGCTACACAACGTTGGGACTTTGTAGTATTTTACGTAGTATGAACACCTTGAGACGTAGAATATCTATCTTTTTAGAAATACATTTAGAAAGTATCAGTGCATTATTTTGACACCTTTAAATTTTACTTAAAAACTTACAGTATTATTTTAGCACAGTTAACTCCCCTGACTAACGTAACAGTGATTGGGAAATTGCTTAATATGCAATAAATGCTTTTAAACTAAATTAAAATTGTTTTTAAAAGTTTATAGAGCAGTGTTGAAGATTTTAGACGTGCCGGTTATGCCAGTTCCTCTTTGATTACATCTTGCGAAATTTAATCACTCATGACCCTTGTTGAACAAGTTTGACTTTGCATTTCTGTCGAGTGAATTTCATCTGTTTATTATATAGTCCTATTTTATAGTTTTAGGTATGAGATTTTTACTATTGAAAACTTTAGACTACGTATTTTCGATTAATTTGTTCGTCTGGGACTGATTGTTTTAATTTACACAGCGCATACGCAATTATCATTCTGTAATTTCTGTTTAGATAAGGTTTCTACAAGGTTCAATAAAGATAGATTGAACAATTTTTGTGCTTTGTTTTGTTCTGGAAGCCCCGTGCATAATCCAAACTGGCGCAACTCATGCTAAACGTCACTTGTTAATGTATACTCTCTGCGTCTCCGTGTAAGGGTATTTTAAGATTTTTTATAAGTCCGTCATCTTGGATTAGAACGTTTGAAAGAATCTGGAGACGAGGAACGACTTGTAGCTTTCCATTTTGTGAAAAATCCCTCCCATTTAGGTTCGGAGGTAAGTAAATGGTAAGTAAAGTGCTATTCGCCTCGCTCCACTATAACGTTCCCGGAAAAAAAACAAACAAACAAAAAAAACAACTTCTATAAAGGTAAACCCTGGTTTCTTGGTTCGAACATTTCGAACAGAAATTCATGTTTCCATCTCATAGACATGTCAAATTTGCCTCTCGACAAGAATGACGGGTTTCAGGGAAAACGGAACAAACTGCTCCCTTAATGTATGCAGTAACGAAACTGGCAGATTTGACGAAATTTTGTTGACGAATTTGACGAACTTTGTCAATCTGTGGGAATTTTAGCCAAAGTGACGACTGACGAAATTTCGCCAAGGTTGTTGACAAAATTATACGAGTGAATAGATATGACCTTGCTAGAAGGGGCCCCAGAAAGTTGGCAAATTTGGCAACAGTATGTATGTATGTATGTATGTATGTATTCTGACGACATTTCGTTAAAGTTGTTGACAAAACTATACGAGTGTTGAATGAGTGTTAAATGTTGTTTATTCGTTGCAAGTCTCAGTAATACCCGTACATATTTTGGTAGAGGTAGGAAAATATATAATGCATGGTTTCTGTTCCCTTGTTGTTAGAAGCTTTAGAACGAGGGAAATATACTCTGTTTTCCCTTCCACTCGGGTAACACGCTTTCGAACGGGAGAAATATAGATTGCTTTCCGTTTGACTCGGGTGACACGCTTTTAGAACGAGGGAAATATATATTGCTTTCCAATCCACTCGGGTATCACGCTTTTAGAAGGAAGGAAATATATATACAGACGAAATTTAGCCAATTTCGTCAAAATCGCCAAAATGTCAAATTCACCAACACGTTAGGCCTGTGTCTAGACCATGATGCAATTTGCATAAAACTCAAATTCGCCAACGTGTTAGGTCCATCTCTAACTATGTAATTTGCAAAACAATCGTCAAATTCGCCAACATGTTAGGCCTGTGTCTAGGTCATGATACAATTTGCATGAAAATCGTCAAATTCGCCAACATGTTAGGCCCATCTCTGATGATGTACTTTGCAAGAAAATCGCCAAAATCGCGATCGTTAAATTTGCAAACATGTTAGGGCCGTCTCTGAGATAATTTGCATAGTTGTGGCTGGCGAGAAGTCATCAAAATCGTCAATTCTGCCAAGCTGATTTCGCTTTGATAAATTTGACTAAAATTCGCCAAAATCGTCAAAACCATAAACATTCACCCAGTTTGGCGAAATTTTGTCAAATCTGACATTTTCGTCACCGCGTGCATTTCTGGACGTAAGTGCATGTTGGTACCCTTCCGAGGTAAAGGGACTCCTTTGAAAGTTCCATAAATTTGGGTGAAAGACTTCTCCGAATGACGCGTGAATGAAAATCCACACACACCTAAATCTTGGCGAGGTTGTTTAAAAATATATATATATATATGTATATACTTCTTGAACTTGAACAGAATAAATTTATAGAGCGCTCGACTCTGGGAGGAGCAGTGTAGATAATAAACAATGGTATCAAGACTTCAATTCATCGTTTTATTGGGACAACGCTGTTTCGTATGGTCAAAGGATGACCACACTCATCAGGCAATATCAACGAATGACCGTTAAATTTCACAAACTGGCAATTAAAAGCTAACTT